TCTCCACCTATCCTCTCCTCTATCCCTCTTCTATCCGCCTCCCACTCTCTCCCTATTTATTTCAAAACCCCCTTCCCCTCCCCCTTTTCTGATGAAGGGTCTAGGCCCGAAACGTCAGCCTCTCTGCTCCTATGATGCTGCTTGGCCTGCTGTGTTCATCCAGCCCTGCACCTTGTTGTCTCGTTTGATGATTCCTTCACTTTCCAGCCTTCAGATTTCTGCCTCTACTTTTGCATGTAAGGCAAATGGTACTGGCAGGCCTTGCAGAATCGTGGAATTGCTTCCTGGTCAACACACAGGGTGGCTTTGGATCCTTTAATAGTCCCTGGACCTTCCTGAAACACTTCTGGGTATTTAGTTAGCATTTCACTCAGGCAACCATTTTCTAATTGTAAAATGTTGAGCCAATCGAGGGGAGTTTTTCTCAATGAATTTTCCCCCATCAGGCTTGAAACAGAGCCTTTTTCTATAAACAGTGGGAACTGAACCAGCTGCCCCTGATATGAGACCAAAACCAAAGCTGAACCTTTCATCTGTAGAGGTATAGGTTCTCAGTCTCGCCAAGGTCTTACACAAACTTAACATTTGAAGTTCAGAGCAAATTTTGTTAAAGACTGGTTCTGCAATCATTGATACAGCCGCGCTGGTATCAACCTTCATTAGAATATAGTGACCATTTAACCAGACATTTACTTTGATTGGTTCTGATTTGGATGTAGCTAAGAAATTTAACTGTTCTATGCCAGATGTAAGTGAGCTTTACAGGGTATGCACTGTCCTGGGTACCAGCCTGTGAGTTCTCTTTCTCAATTAAGGCCTAATGGAACTCTTTTGCTGTCTCAGGTCCTCATACCAGCAGCAACTATAATGGCTTGCCAGCCCAGATCCTGAAAAAAAATGTTAACCATTTGGTCTAGGCTTGGCTTTGTTTTGGGGTTTTACTGTGGGCTGACCTAGAGTCCCTTGACTTAGGATATGTCCTGAGCGAGGCTATGCAATTGCCTTTGCTCAAGTGGTGTTCCCCACCAGTCAGACTGGCGAGGGTGTCACTTCCATCAGCATACCCTGTAATTCATATGCACCACTTGCTGCATCTTCTAATGACAAAGCCAGTTGTAGTGTCTATTTGAATTCCAGTTGAACTTCAGTTCGTAGGCACTTTTGCAGGATTACATCATTCGTCCTACATACCAAACAATCTCTCAGCACCTTGTTAGGGTTAAACCAAAATTGCATGCGTCTGCCAGTCATCTTAATCTTGTCAAAAATCCCGACATAAATTCCCCTGGTTCTCGAATTGCCAAGTAAAACCAATAGCGTGTCAGAATTAGAGGAGGCTTGGTGTCGTAATATTCTTTAACTAAATCCGTTTTGAAAGGTTTTATTATCTGGTGCCTCAGGAAAGTTAGGCTCCTAATAATTGAAAAAGCTGTGGGTCCACAAGCTGTCAAGGGAATTAATTTTTATCTGCCCCAATGCCATTTGCCTGGAAAAATAACACATCCTTTCAACATACTGGGCCCAGTCTTTGATGGCAGAATCAAACAAATCAAGCTTCCCAAATAACGTATGATGCCAGAAATGCTTACGCCAAAATCAAAGCGAATTTCATCAGGAGCGTATTTTTTTCGCTCATCATCACTGAAATAACTTCACAGAGGCAGGAATTCTATTAACAAGTCACCCTTTATTCACACATGTATAGTACTTGACACTGGTCCCGCTTCATCTGAGCCAGCTTTCAGAGTGAGCAGAACCTCTGACACTCCTGTTCATATCTGTCAGTGAGGGCTCCCTGATTGGACCAACATAACAGCTCCAATTAGGGAACTCATTTTCTATGAGGTTCACCTGGCTGACCTCACTACAATCACAACATCACACTGACTCATCTATATTCGGTTTCTCATTTCTCCAATTTACAAACAGTGGAATGATTATTTTGATGAGCAAAACTTTAGTTTGGATTCCATCTCTAAAATCCACTTGAACAGATTTTTCTTCTGAAATTAATTTTTGGGAAAAACTGAGATCAACATAAGTTACAAATTTGCAAGGGCCCAAAACAATGTTCTATAACAATGTAAAAAATAATCAATTTGATCAATTTAATTTATAGAAATTATTAATCAAATATTTTTAAATTTAAAGCACCAAGCCAATTCTGAACGTTCACTGAAATGAAAAGCTCCAGGGTCATTCTGCTACAGTTGAAACTGGATTCTACCTAATTTGATGATCAAACAAAATGAATATCATGTCAGATCTACTCCAGATTTAGACAGCATGGAGTATTTATATATTGATATATTTCCTGCTTTTCCCTGATATTTTATTATGGAGATAAAAGTGGGCATTTAAGAGGTTTCACAAAAACAATTTATCAAAACAGTCATTTTTGTGAAAGAGGAAATAAGCACACCTGCAATTGCAAATGACTACTGAAAGGTTCCTTTGAAAACGTTAGGTGTCATACCTTGCTTTGGAATTTCAATTCAAGACCAAGGAGAAGACAGATATTAAATTCAACACTGTTGCTGTGCACCTTGTTGAATCTGCCAATGAAGAACGCAAACCTAGACAGGTGTGGCCACAATAAATTCTAGACATTTGAAATGGCATATTAAACAAATTTCATTTTGTAATTTGAAGAGTTGTGCAGACAAACATGTTAAACTTTAAATCAAATTCATAAGCTCCACTCTCTGGGGGCTTGCTCACAGAGCGTTGTAAATAATAGTTTCAACTTTGAAGGGAATAGTGCCCTTTTACATTATACATCCTGACCGTCAACACACTTTTACTAACACCATTGCTGTTAATCAATTACGAGGAAGCAAGTGTTAATAGTGTGACACTGATTTCCCATTTCCCCTACAATACAAGTCTAGCCATCTTAGGATACCTCCCCAAAACAGCTGAAGTTACAAACCAGAATTGGAGAAATAAAGCATGTAGCTATCTCTGTTGGAATAATTAAGCTGTTGTGCTGTTTTAACAATCATGGAGTGATTAGAAATTAAACAAACAGTGAATGATCCAAAAACAACAAAAAACAAATCACACAAGATGCCGGTACCTTCAAAAAGCCTTCCTCTCAGGTCTCAGTGGATAAATGCCATCTGAGCCATAAAAACCGGAACAAAAAAGTAGTCTGTTGTTTCATTATGCTTTCTCATGCTACTATATTTAGTTAAGTGACAATAAAACTAAATTGTCTATATATTTCAAATCTGCTAAATACAAAATATGATCAAGATCCTTTTCTGTAGTTGATTGACCATTACATCATGCAATAGCATGTTTCAAATTATGTATTTCATGTGCAAAACATAAAATCCAGTAACTCATCAGATAACAAAATGTGTCTTTATCTTAGGTTTTCCTTTGACCTACAAGACATTTGTACAGCTGCAAAGTGAATGGCCAGCTCTTTTGGCTAACGGCAGGAAGGCTCTGCCCACCACTAACTGCGATTTAATCTGCCCACTTAACTATTTTATGCTAGAGCCATTGCACCTTCCAGTTCTGATTCCAGGAAGAATGCAGTAATGAACAGAGTGGGGAGGCCAAGTAGGGAAGTTAATTCCAGTGAAGGAAGGACAGGGGAACATTAACAGGGACATGCTGAACAGTTTTGAGACAAGGATGAACACTGTCAGGGGTGCATTAAGAATTATCACCACAGGTATGGACATTATTGTAATCATTGTTGTGATTTGACAATTCATCTGATTCACTGAGAATTATACCACTATGGAAAGCTCCAACTAAGTCCCTGTAAAAACCAACATACATTCAGGGCAAACAGAACAACTGCACATGGTTCTAACCATCCAATCCCACTGTCATAAAAAATGATGCAACAGTCTGGCATGGTAAAACCAGAAATTGGAGGTTTAAACTTCTGTCATAAGTACCATGCATATGTGCTTGTTATAACTTCCTCAGGGATCTGAGGTTCATCAGCACTTCAACTGAGTCATTCATTGCTCCTCATACCAGAAAATTCAGGTCAATATTTTAGATTACTGTATATAGATCAGAACTCACCCCAAAGTCATCTTCATTCTGTAGTAACTGTGAACGTAATAAACGTTTCTTCAGCAAGGGTTCTACCAATGTCAGATAAACCATATAAAGCAACAGTAAGCCCAGAATTGACAGATAAATGATGATCGTTACCTGCAAACCAGAAATATAAAGTGAACAATACATTTTTTAACCATCGACAAAACACCAATTCCTGATTGCAGGGAAATGAATCTCACTAGTAAACACAGGAAATGTCATTGATGCCAATTTTCTGAACTCGTTTTTCTGGCTCTCCTGTTATCACAGAAGGGTTTAAAGAGAATTTTGTGAATGAGAAACTGGCTACCTTGGCTCGACATATAAAATTGTCACAATGGTTGACACAGTAAAAAAAAAACCATCTTGATATAGCAGCATGAGCACTGATGTCCTAGATAGCAAATTTTCCCAGTATAGATAGTAACAATCAGATGGCCGAAGAGTAGAGCACTTGGCCAGGGTCTAAAAGTGCATTTATATATGTCAACATACAATTCACCCAAGCATGCTTTTTTTAACACGACAGGCAGCACACATCCATACCTCAGCTGCAGCCAGGTTTTTGTGGTGCGAGCATCACTGTTGGGACTGCATGCAGCCAAGAGAACACCATTGTATGCTGCCATCAGAATAAGTAAGTTGGGTTGGGAAGTTGCCATGGAGAATTGGACAGATGTTGCCAAGGGTGGAGTATACCTGGAGTAATTGGAGATGGTGGTGAAAGCGGAGAAATGAAAGTTGCCACAAGGGCAGCAACTGCCACTGCGAGTGGGGTGGAAAAGGCATCCATGGGTCACAGTGCCTGAATAAGACAGTCCAAACAATACCCTCAGCTAGGCAGCCTGGTTTCACCTAGTAGTCTCCCCATGAGCAAAAGGCACACCTCCCATTGGTAAATTCCCAATGGATAGGGCCCTGAATTGGCTGATTTAGTGGTACATTGGAGTCTGGAGTAGAGGGTTGTCTCTGAATGGGAAGGCTGGTGAAATGGCATGGTGCAGGAAGGTGATGGGCATGACACTGTCCATTTTATAAATATCCTCATCTCCCATACAATCCTGCAGAAGCTTGAGATCTAAAACCTGATGGCTTACAATGTAGAAGAGTTATAGAAGAGATATCTGCTGACATAGTGGATATGATGATATAATTTTCCAAAATTCCCATGATTCTGGAATGCAACCAGCAGATTGGAAGCTAGTAAATGTACCACCACTGTTCAAGAAAGTAGGGAAAGAGAAAACAGAGAAATGCAGGCCAATTCGTCTGATATCAATTCTCAGCAGAATGAAAAAACTCTGTGATTTGAGCAAGGCATATGGTTTTACAAAAGGGAAATCCTATTTGACAATTTTATTAGAGTTTATGTGAGGATGTGACAAGTAGGGTAGATAAAGGGGGACCAGCAGATGAAGCAAACTGGATTTCCTAAAGATCTTATATAAGGGAAAGCCTCATCGAGTTGCAGGCTACATGTTACAAAGAATACAGGATTAGTTCTTTTTACTCGTTCTTGGGATGTGGCCTTCACGGTTTAGGCCAGCATTTATTATTCATTCCTAACTGCCCTGGAGTAAGTGCCGGTAAGCTGCTTTCTTGAACTGCTCGATCCTTATAGTGCTGCACTTATAGTACTGTTAGGATGGCAATTCCAGGAGTTTGACCGAGTAACAATCAAGAAACATTGATAAGGTTCCATGACAGGATGGTGCACGTGTTGGGAGGGGAATTTGCAAGTGGTGGTGTTCCCATTTATCTGTTTCTCTCATCCTTATAAATGGTAAACACAATGGATTGAAAAGGTATTCTCAAAGAAGCGCTTGTGAGATAATGCAATACATCTTATAAATGGCTCACAGTCCAGTCACTGTAAATTAGTGGTGAAGGAAGTGAATATTGAAGGTGTGGATGGGCGTGTAAATCAAGCCAGATGCTTTGTCCTGAATTATGAGTTTCGTAAGTAGTGTTGGAACTGGATTTATCCAGGAAAGTGGAGTATTCCATCACACTTCTGATTTTTGCCTTGTAGATGGGGATCGGGCGTTGAGGCAGGAGGTGAGTTACGTGGTACAGAATTCCTTGTGTCTGCCCTGCTCTTGTTGTCACAGCCAGTTTACAGTCAATGTAGGATGTTGATAGTCAGGAATTTAATGATGGCAATGCCACTAAATGTAAATAGATGTTGGTTAGATTCTCATTTGTTGGTACTGGTCATTGCCTGGCATTTGCGTGTGCTGTATATATTACATGCCACATGTCATTCTAAAACCTGGATGTTTTACAGGTCTTGTTGCAAATGGATACAAACTGCTTTAGGATCTAAAAAGTTCTGAATGGTGCTGAAAATTGTACCATCATCAGCAATCATCCCCATGTCTGACCTGATAACATAAGGAAGGTCATCATGAAATAGTTTAAGATGAATGAGGCTAGGAAAATACAAAGAACAAAGAACAAAGGACAAGAAAATTACAGCACAGGAACAGGCCCTTTGGCCCTCCAAGCCTGCGCCGATCCAGATCCTCTATCTAAATCTGTCGCCTATTTTCCAAGGATCTGTATCCCTCTGCTCCCTGCCCATTCATGTATCTGTCTAGATACATCTTAAATGATGCTATTGTGCCCGCCTCTACCACCTCCGCTGGCAACGCGTTCCAGGCGCCCACCACCCTCTGCGTAAAGAACTTAGCCTGAGGAATACCCTGAGGAACACCTGCAATGATGTCCTGAGGCCAAGATAATTGACAGCCACAACCACAACCACCTTATGTGCCAGGTATGACTCCAATCAGCAGAGAGCTTTTCTCTTTGATTACCAAGGACTCCAATTTTGCTAAAGCTTCATTGTAAAGACTGTTTCTTTTCATTTTTGTGCTTTTTAAAATGTAGATTGAAATGACAAGAAAATTATTTGAAAAATTAGGGATTTATAAGGATACCTGCATTTTTTAGAAGGAAGAAATCTGATATCTGTTGTGAACCCTATTTGTCTAGCTGTGGGTTCTAGCAACGTGCAGATGAACTAGAGGTGAAGGTTTGTTTACAAGTGAGGCTGATTGATGTGGGCTAGAGGCCAGTTATCAATGACAAAGGTCCTCTGCCTGCCAACAATTAGGTGATTGGTTGTCAGGTAGCTGAATAGCTTGGTTCGTGAATTAGACAGAGAGAAGCTAGTCAGCTCAGAAGAGAAACCAATAACTACACCAGTCAAAACCTCTCTCTGTCAGTTGTCTATAGTAAGCCACTTTAAACATGAAGAAAACCAGCTTATATTTCCTTCAGCAGATGCTGCATGATGTGATTTTGAATTAGATAAGTCAGAGACCTTTGATATGTGAACCAATCACCAGTTCCTCTCACAAATCAGTGGAAACATTCACAAAATGGAAAGTTGAGGAGAAACTCTTGGATCAGCAAATGCCAATCCAAAAGATCTGTAATCTTTGTTCAGCAGAACTGCTTTTCCAGTTTTCTCTCCGCCCATATTTTTTTTTCCCTATTTATGTCTATCCATATGTGTGCATGTGGAAAAGAGAGTTTGTAAGGGGTTTCGAGTTTTAATTTAGTTTAATTTTTACCTGTAGTTAGAATTCAATTAGCTGTAATGAATAGTGATTCTAGTTAAGTACAGAAACATGGTCCATGTTTTCTAGAAATCTGGGTCTGAAAATCAAGTGGATTGTTTCAGCCTGTTCCTGTCCTACAGAACTCATCTCTTCCTACCTGACTCAGTCTTTTCAATCTTTTCTCCCCGGTCCAGTCCCTGCCCATGTACATCCGTGATTCCTCTGACGCTTTTCAGAATTTCCAGTTTGCAGGCTCCAGTCCCCTCCCCTTTACCATGGACATGCAATGCTTTTACATGTCCATCCCCCACCAGGACAGTCTCAGGGCTCACTGGTTCTTCCTGGAGCAAAGGCCTGAACTGTCCCCACCCAGCACCACCGTCCTCCGCTTGGCCAAGCTCGTCCTCACCCTCAACAACTTCTCTCTTTTAACTCCTCTCATTTTCTTCAGGTCAGATGACCGGAATGGGCCCCAGTCATGCATGTCTCTTTGTGGGGTATGTGGAACATTCCTTCTTCCAGTCCTAATCTGGCCCCCATCCACAACTCTTTCTCCAATATATCGATAATATTATCAGTGGTGCTTCCCTCTCTTGTCCAGAATTGGAAAAGTTTATCGATTTCACTTCCAATTTCCACCCTGCCCTCACTTTCACCTGGTCTATCCCTTCCCTTCTGATATCTCTGTTTCTATTTCTGGGGACAGACTGACCACTAATATCCACTATAAACCCACCAACTCCCACAGCTACCTGGACTATACATCCTTGCATTCTGCTTCCTGTAAAGACTCCATTCCCTCTGTCTCCGTTGCATATGTTCCAATGAGGCCAACTTTGACAAGGGAGCCTCCGACATGTCCACCTTCTTCCTCAACCAAGGAATCCCCAACACCATTGTCGAAAGGGCCCTCAACTGGGTCCAACCCATCTCTCGCCTGTCAGCTGTCACCCCCTCTCTTCCCTCCCTCAACAGCAATAGGGCTCCCCTTGTCCTTACCTACTATCCCACTAGTATTCACATCCAGAAGATCATCAGCTGCCATTTCCGTCACCTCCAGGGAGAGGCCACATATTCCCCTCCCCTCCCTTGTCCGCCGTTCACAGGGACCATTCCCTCTGGGACACCTTGATACACTCTTCCTTCACTCCCAACTCGCTCCCCCCTACAACTCCACAGTAACTTCCCCTGCAACTGCCAAAGGTTAAACCCTGCCCATTTACCTCCTCTCTCCTCAGTATCAAAGGGCTCAAAGATACCTTCCAGGAGAAGCAGAGCTTTACCTGCAGTTTTCACAATCCAATCGCTGCTCACAATGTGGTCTCCTTTACATTGTGAGCACTTCACAAAACATCTATCTATGTTCTGTCTGCAAAAAAGACCCAGAGCTTCCAGTTGCCTGCCACTTTAACACACCACCCTGTTCTCTGATCAACATCTTGGTCTTAGGCTTGCTGCAGTGTTCCAGCGAAGCTCAGCACAAGCTGGAAGAGCAACACCTCATTTTCCGCTTGGGGACCCTGCAGCTCTCTGGACTCAATATCGAGTTCAATAGTTTTAGGGCCTGAACTCTCCCATGTCCTAGCCCTCCACCTCACACACCAGGTCTTATTATCACATAGTCTGCTATTATACACTACCTATTGGTAGTCACTAGCAGTCTCCGTTAACAGCTATTCACCCTCTTAACCAGATTATTATCCACTCCTTTGTCTGTTCAACTGTTTTTCTGTCTTTGGGCTCTATCCCCACCTGTCATTTACTCCTGACCCCCTCCCCCACCCTATCTCCTGCATACAAACTGACATTTTTCTAGCCATCAGTTCTGGGGAAGGATCACCGGACCCAAAACATTAAGTCTGATTTCTCTCCACAGATTCTGCCAGACCAGCTGAACTTTTCAAACAACTTCTGTTTTTGTTTCTGATTTACAGCATCCTCAGTTCTTTTGTTTTTTCTTTGCTAATCAATCCACCTTTTTCCATGTGATGACTAATTCTATTCTGAACAATTGTCTTTAGAAGCTTGCCCACCTCTGAAGTTAAACTGATTGATGTGTAATTACTGGGCTTATCCTTATAATCTTTTTTGAACAAGGCCATAAAGCTTGTAATTTTTCAGTCTTTTGGAACCTTCCCCAAGTCTAGGTTAGACTCAAAGGTGCCCCTTCAATTTCCACTCTCACTTCATTCAAAATCCTTGGATGCATCTCATCAAGCCCCAGTGTCAACAATCTATCCACCATTTCTGAATCTATCAGCTTTTGAACCCTTCTAGTGACCATGGCCTGAGCAGCATCTCTCTCTTTACCAAAGACAGATGCAAAGTATACATTTAACATCTCAGCTATGTGCCCTGCCTCCAGGTGTAAATCTACTTTTTTGATCCCTAATTGGCCTGCCCTTCCTTTCACCAACTATTTATATGACTGCAGAACACTTTGGGACACCTTTTTATGTTGGCTACCAATCTTTTCTCATAATTCCTCCTTGCCTCTGTAATTTTCTTTTTCATTACTTCTCTGAACTTCAATATTTTCGTGATTCTCAATTTCATTTTCTATCCGATACTTGTCATAAGCACCGCTTTTCTTCTTTATCTTAATTTCTATCTCCTTTTTCATCAGGGAGCTCAAGATTTGTTTCTTTTACCTTTCCCATTTGAAGGATATCCCTTGACTGCAGCCAAACCATTTCTTCTTTGAAGGTAGCCCATTGTTCAGCTACTGTTTTTCCTGTTAAGCTCTTGATCCATTCAATCCTGCGCAGCTCTGTTCTTGCCCCATTGAAGTCTGCTCTCCACCAACTGATTTCTCCCTACTCTGAATGGTTGCATGTCATTCTCCATCATCATCCTGAACCTTATGATACAATGATCATTGTCTCTTAAATGATCCCCAACTGACACACAATCCACTTGGTGCACCTCATTTCCAAGAATCACATCCAACAGTGCATCCTTTCTTGTTGGACTTGGAGCATGCTGCTATAGGAAGCCCTCCTGCATGCAATCCAGGAATACTTGCCCTTTGCTGCCCTGTACACTACAAGTATCTCAGGTCACACTGAGTAATTGAAGTTCCTCATTATAACTACCATTATAACAACTTTCATCACTTTGCTTATGAAGGAGAATAAACCGATAGATGGTAATTGGCCAGGTTGGATTTGTCTTGCTTTTTGTGCACAGGACATCCCGGGCAATCTTCTATATTGTAATGTAGATTACAATATTGCAGCTTAGTGGAACAGCTTGGCTAGAACCATGGCTAGTTTTAGTCTTCTTCTGCTCAGATTACTTATCTTGAGAGGGCTGGTAAAATCCAGGTTGGTGACAGTGTGCATGAGTTACCCCACAGTCAGTGCAGGGATAAGGGTATTTCTACGGAAGGCAAATTCACAAGAGTTCTGTCACAGAGGAGTCAGAGGAAGGATGATGGGTATGCTCACTGAAATACTTGGTGCCTTGGCAGGCCTGCCAGAAATCCTGTTAATGTTAAAGAATATGGTGGGGTCTGCCATGAACCTAACACAGGGCTTTGTACAAAGTTTGGTGTCTGTCCACTTTAGCTTGGAAGTAGTGGGCAACTTCAGAAGAATACTTACAGGGCCATCATCCATGATTAAGTGTCTTTAAGGGACTGGCAGTGCCACCATTCTTAACAATCCATTTGTCCTCTATCAGGATCACAGTATTTATCCTCCCACCAGAGCCCTGGTGTTGCCTGTCAGCCAGCAAGCCCAGACTTCTGTCACCCACAGCAAATTGGTGCAGTCCAAAGCCAGGCCTTCGTGGATCAGTCCCGCTTGAGCTCATTCTGCAAGGTCATCTACAGTTTCCCAAAGTGAAACTTTGTAGCAATGCTTTAGTCACTGAAGTACTGCACAAAGGCTCCAGAACAGGCAAGGTGCATCCAGGACAGGCACTTATTGCTTGCACATGTGCAGGATGTTGATACTTGTAAGCACCTTTTGACTTTTAAATTTAGGTTTGAATTTTTTTTTGGTGGTGTTTTATATTTTTGGAACTGTGGCCAAGAATATGTTTCAACGATCAGCAACAAAGGTGTGGGACTGTTGGTGAATGGGGGAATGGATTTGCACTTTTTGATGCCTCAACTGGATAAGGCAATCAGTGACAGCCTAATCAGAAAAGAACCATATTGGTTGCTTCCTTCTATTCTCTGCCATCTCCAGAGCTGGTTAATGTATATCAAGTGGAGAGGATTGTGCCCTAATGCTGATGCAGTTAAGTAGCATACAAGGAGCTGAAGCAATGAACTCCAAAATGGCAGAGGCAGCATCAGACTTGCACTACACACCAAACAATGATGTGATCTGTCTGCTCTACTTACCTCTAGTGGACACTCCCTATACAAATGCCAATGCCCTCACCAAAGCGGTTTCTGAAGTAACTAACATTGGATGTCTCCACGTACCATGGATGCTATTTTGGAGGCAAAAAAATGGTGATTGTACTAAAAAAAAGTGCATCATACAGCTAACTTTCAGGGTTTTCATTTTTCCATCACTATAAAGTAGAAACACTACTACAGAAATTATTTTCAACAAGTAGTAAAACAAAAGCCAGCTACTTTCACCACCAGTTTGTAACTGAAATGGAAAGAATGAAAAAAAAATTTACAATCAGACTTCAAAAGGCATTATATGATTTGGCCAATTTCAACAGAAATATAGGAAAGAATGTTATACCAACTAGTTATTAGTGATAAATCAATTGCAGTAAAACTTAAACAGTATTAAACAATTCACCATGCCTCAGTTGAAGTTGAGAATGCTGACCTTAGCCAGTGCACGAGTTCAACCCATGCTGTTGGCATCAAATCAGCCATGGAGCCAACTGAGCTAACCAAATTGCTTTAAAAAAATACCTTAATTGTAACTGTGCTTCGCTCTTCATATTTACATTCACACCTCAAGCAATAAGCTTCAACATCTTGTCCAGCAACAGGCATGGGATCAACAACATGTAGGCAATCACTGAAAAAGATAAAATTACAATTGCTATCAAAGTGTTATAAACTCTCACTGACGTTTGGTTTGTAGAGAAATATTATGTGATGTTTGTTCAGATATTTCCAATTATGGCAGTGGAGGGAAAGATAACTATATTTATGTCTAAATTAAAAATAACAATAATAGTATGACTGCAAATATTGTAGTTAACTTTTAATTGTTGAAACATAAAAACAAAAGCACTTTAGCAGATTCATATTTTGAAAAGAATAATTTCTACTTTTGCTCTGTATATAACTGGAAATAATAACCTGCATTTATAGTGGCTTTAACACAGAAAATGAGTCAAGTAGTTTTAAATGAGTGTTACCAGTCAAAAATTGAGATATTGAGACAGCTGACCCAAATACGTAAATCTTAAATGACAAGACAGGAGTAGAGAAATGGACAGGTATACAGTGCGAATCTTAGGCTTAGGGCCAAGGCGTCTGAAAGAACAACAGCCAATGGTGGTGTAACTGAAATACAGGATATGCAAATACCAGAAATTTCAGGAGAGTTGCAGAGACGTCACAGGTTGTAGGACGAGAGGAGATTATACTGATAGGAAGAAACTAGACTACAGACTGATTTTAACCAAGAATATTGCCTCATCCACCTCTAGTAAAGACATCAACTATAAATTTTCGGTTAAGAAGAAATACTAATGTAACCTGGTGATCCTTGACCTGGAAGCAGCACCAACAGGACAGAAGTTACAACATAGGGACCAGGTGGTCAGCTGAGAAGAGGGAAGAAAACAGTTGCAGAATATACTGAAAACATATTTAAGGCTGTTATCACAGTTTCTTTCATATCCATGTGATTGAATGCCCAGAATCTGCAATAATGTGTAAAGATAACTAACAGCAGAAGCTCAGAATTGAGAAGAGTCTGGACAGAGCCACAGCAGTATCTTAAAGATTGCATGATCATAATCCTATTTAAACAGAAGCTGATGCATGCAGAGAATTGGCTGAATACTTGAAGGAAAAAGACTGGAAGTTTTCAGCTGATAGAATCTTGTAGCTCATACTAGAACCAGGAGGAATGGAAGGCCTACGTAATAGTGAGGTAACATGGTATCTTATAATGGTCTAAGCGATATGGACTATGGCAAGATGTGTGGCAGAATTGGACAAAAAGTCTGGTGATGCCAATCATAATGTCAAAAACATTTTGTTCCAACTTGTACACTTTCCACAAACAGCATAGCAAGATTCTCACTGGGCACAGTGAATTGCTAATTAATGATGATTAACACTCTTTGGTAACACAACTGATGATGGCCCAACTCACCCTGTTGATATTCTGATTCCAATCTTATCAAACTCACCCAACAAACTAGCCATTGGGAAAACATGACATGGAAACCAGAGAAAGTGCTTGGTGCATTCAGCTCACCGCTTCTTCTAAATGACTCCATGTTGCCCATGGTCTAACTGCAGCAGAGGCCATGATCCACAGCAACCAGCGTCATGCACCCTTCCTCCATTGGCATTGGCATCCAACATTCAATGAACCCTCGCCACCATCTTGGCACTTGTCGAATGCACTGGCAGTGTTCCCTGGAAGCACGGACATTCATAGGCGGGGCACACTGCAACCAGCAGTGCCCGGTTACTGCTTGCACCAGGCTGCCTAGTAGGACTGCTGTCTTGCTCTTTTAGTGTACATTCTCCTGGCATCTACTGACATGTATGCCTTAGCGTGCAGTGCAATTTGCATAGTCACACAACCAGGCAGCCTGTCATGTGCTGCTTACTAGTCCACATATGAGGTCATGTACATCTTGCCTCATGGCATCGTGCCACTTCGCTGCCCCTCAGGCAAGACCATGTGTGCACCTCATTTGGGTGGTCCAGCATGGTTAATCAAGGTTAGCCTCCCATCAGGCATCCTCTGAGGTCCAGTGAGCAGGTCACATTCCAGCTGCTTGTATCCATAGGCACCAGTCCTGGGGAAACTGGGTGTTGTCGCAGTTGTGGACATGTGTAACAATCAGATGGGGTGTGCACCTACCCTGACGGAGTTCTATGCTCATTGAAGGGGAGGACATGGATTTTGGGCACTTCACACAGGTACAACATCGCACCACCCTGTCACCCAGGTTCAAGTCCCACCTGTTCCAAGGGGGTGTGCAATAACATCTCTGAACAGATTGATTAGAAAAATAGGTTAAATAAAAAAGGGTTGTCATCTCGTGTGATGACATAAAAGGGGGGAGGGGCGTGAATGAGTAAGTCACAAGTGAACAGCGCAGTTTTTTGTGCTCATACGTGTGGCAGAAAGATGTTAAGGTGTTCTGAGGGAGTGAGTGGTATTGTAGGGTTGTCGTGTGGGACAAGGGGGTGTAACAAAAGCAAATGAGGAAAGGTGCTGCATACAACAGAGACGTTATCAGGAACACGAGCCTTGGTGAGAGATGGGTGCGATGGCAAAAACAGAGCGAGTGTGAGATAGCAGCAAGCAGATGATGGCTCTTACCCTGATGGACCAAGGGTGTCATTCAATCTCTTTCAGCACTGCAGCCCGGTTCTCTGTACTCCTGAGATTGCCCAGTTGGTGATCTCCGACCAGGCTGGGTTTGCCTGATGGTGTGGCCTCCTAACAGTCCTCAGGGAAAAGAACACCTCTTCATTGTATCACCATGCTATCCAGAATTTCCAAGTACCTGTCGAAGAAATGTGATTCCAACTTCCCCTTCTCAGTCATCTCTCCTTACAGTGTCTAAAAAAAGAGCAGGGCAACTGCTAAATGCTCACATGCTTCCAAATGCACAGCAGGCTTTCAAAGATGGCATTGATGCAAGGGATGCAGGTCTTGGTGCAGAAATCCACTGAGTGGTGAGTTGTTCCAGGAATGGCACATGGTAAGATGGGATGGAAATCAAACATGCATGATGCCCTAGGGGCAAGGTTAGAAATTACTGTGGCAAGTTTGATAAGAAAGGAAGAGAAAACTCTCTGGCTCTTGCAACAAGATTCCCTCCAAAATACTTGATGTAACTTGCATTTAGCCAAAGAAGCAAAAGATGCATCCCACAGTATCTGTTGTATCTGCTATTCCATGTGTCATTTATACTTTGAACAATTTGCAACATGATTTGTCTGTTAATTTACAATGATTTTGAATCATAAAGTAAAAAGTTATAAAATGTGAAACTTCATGTCGTCATTTCTTCATTGGGAAGTCATCCTGTAAATATGGTTATTTTGATGCACAGTTCACAGTAATTGTAACCGTAGTCAGAATAACAACAGATAAGAACTGGAACTAGTTTGTTCTTTTTGATAAATTAACTTTTCAATCAATGTTAGAATTTTCTAATAAACTTTCCTACGAACAAACGACAAGAGTGCTCAAAGAATAGGTTTAAAGCTTTAACAATTTATTTTTCTGTTCCCCAATGAAACCTGCTATTTCTGACCTTCTGAATGAGCTGTTACAATCTTAGTGATGACAACAAGAAGCTTTCAGCATCATTGCATCCAAGCTGCAAACCCTAAAGCAGTTAAGCCACAAAACGTTAGTATCGGCTAAGTAATCCCAATCACCAGAACTACACTGAAATTTTATGCCCTGTAGAGGCACAAATACTACACTTGGAACATTTTTTCTACATTAGCTATTGAATATCTTCTTGCTGTAACCAACCTCAATAAATTCATTTGTTCTTTCAGTGCCTCAATGAAGTAAATAGTGAAAATCACAGCGAATAGTGAGACTTCACATTACCAGGTTAGGAGAAAGGATTCATGATGACTAAATTTGCGAGGCAATGCTCTCTGCGACTGATGTCATGACTTGGCCTGCAAACAGGACCAGTGTCCCCTCAATTCATGTAAAGCTTCCAATTCTGGAAGTCACTGCCACATACAGATCTCAGCAGTCCATACAGTGGCAGCAGAAATTAGAAGGAATGTAGGACAGAACCATATCAATGCAGGTCTTATCCTGTAATTTAATCCATTTTAGGTAGACTGCACCAGGAGCAAAATCTAGTCATGTGGCCTTGCAATTTTGCAAGTGGGCAGGACCTGCATGAGTTCCTGGATGCTTATGTGATGTCAACTGGTTAAATTGCATCAGTTATAGCGACTGTGGCAGGGGCTGGAATTGGCACTGAGATTCATTCAGTTAAGTCAAATTAGACAGTTGGTAGCAAGAATAAGGACGGGAAATAAAAGATAAAGGGCACATTTAGAAAGAAATTATAGGAACAGAGAATGCTAGAGTATATATGCACAAATCATTGAAGAAGGCAAGCCATGTTGAGAAAGCAGTTAAGATATCCTGGACTTTATAAATAAAGGTATTAGGAACAGAAGCAAGGAAGTTGTGGTGTACGTTTATAACATACTGATGCAACTCAATGTAGTATTTCATTCAATTCTGGTCATCACACTTTAAAAAGGGTATGAAGACATTGGTTGGGTGCAAAACAAAATTTATGAGAATGGCTTCAGGGATGAGAGACTTCAGTTAATGTGGAAAAACTGGAGAAGCTAGAGATGCTCTCTTTAGACATCATTAGCTTGAGAGGAAATTTAATTAAAGGTGCTCAAAATCATGAGGGGTTGGAACAATAGCAGAAGGATCAATAACCAGAGGACACTGATTGGCTAAAGAACCAGAAGCACCATGTGCGAATTTCAAAAAAACAGAGGTTAGGATCTGGAAATGAGAACACAATTAAAGACAATGAGGCCTCTGTGTCATGAAGGAAAAAGTGTTAACATGCGAATCTGGTGAGGGTGAGATATCTCAAGTTTTTCTTGAGCTATGAGTTAATAGTCAAGCTTTGACTCGAAGCTTTAAAACTGCAAGCTTGTTAAAATGGTCTGGTTTAACAGAAAGTGGCTGTTATATCAATTAAATGAATGCAGTGGCTTGAATAAGTTTTAACTATTGTAGAAGACAGCTGACTTAGCAGTTGTAACTGGACAGTGAGTCACCCACCCTCTGTACAGGCAAACAGAATCTGTGACTACACAGAAAGGCAGCAATAAGGAACACAAGGTAACTTGGGAATTTGCAAAGAGGGAAGGAAGTGCTGCTTTTTGTATGATTTTTCAGTCTCAACTAGGTGGTGAGTGTTCAAAGGCATTAATTAGGCCAGCAGTTCAGTGATTGGTGATATTCAAAATTAAATTAATAGCTTAACTATGTTAACTAGTTAACAGCTAAGTGATAATTCTAAACTTGGTAGGGCTGGTGATGTGTTTCAGCTCTAACATGTGGAAGTTGATGAATATCTTGGTAATCCACAGCAATTGCATCTGCAAATTAATGAACTTTGGCTCAGAGTTGATGAGCTGAAGTCCAAGCTTCTGACACTGTGATGCATCAGGGAAGAACAAAGTTACATTGGTAACAGAATGTAGCTATATTTAAGACTTGTGTATGTTGACTGAACTGTGATTAAAGTTGGCGCAGCTAGGGCTGAGGCAAGTACAGAAACCCAGAGATAGCAATGGAGGGGTTCAGTGACTGGAGTTGTACAATAAGTTAAAGGTCCTTACAGCTTGTGTAGACAGTAGCAGGGACGGGAGGGTAGAACAGCAAACTGACCTTGGTACCATGATGCAGGTAGTCTTTGAAGTATAGGGAGTGAAAAGAAATGCAGTTGAAGTAGGGATATGTATAGTATAGGGATACCTAATCCTCTCTATGCATCTGAGAACATAAGTTAACCAGCATTAAAGAAATCTTCTCTGTCCTAGTCCATATGGGCACCAATGACATGTGCAATACTAAGAAAGAGGTTCTGATGCAGGATTATTTTAAATTTAAAAGCAGAACCATAAAGGTTCTCTTTATCTCTAGCTGTGCTATGTGCAAATTACCATGAGTTAAATAATATTAGAATTGAATGTGGTCCAAAGATTGAATGGGGAGAAATGAGTTTTTGAAGACTGGGAAGAAAAAATGGTGGGATGACTCTTAGTAAAATGAGAAAAATGAGAAATCTTGATTTAGAGGATTAAAATGTAGAATCAATTTGGATAGAGATAAATATTAGCAAAAGAAAAATGCCTGATGGGAGTATTTTGTGTTTCCTAATAAATAGCTATACTGTAGGATAGTATAAATGACAAAATATTGGAAGCTTGTAAGAATAAAACAATAATTAGGACTTTTTAAAATCTTCATAGACTGGACAGCATGGTGGCTCAGTGGTTAGTGCTGCTGCCTCACAGCGCCAGGGACCCGGGTTTGATTCCACCTGCGGGTGACTGTCTGTGTGGAGTTGGCACATTCTCCTCGTGTCTGCGTGGGTTTCCTCCGGTTGCTCCAGTTTCCTCCCATAGTCCAAAGATGTGCAGGGTAGGTAGACTGGCCATGCTAAATTGCCCATATTGTTCAGGGATGTGTAGATTAGGTGGGTAAAAGGGGGATGGGTCTGGATGGGATGCTCTGAGGGTCAGTGTGGATTTGTTGGGCCGATGGGCCTGTTTCCACACTGTAAGTATTCTATGATTCTGAGTTAGCAAAATGGGCCTGGAGGCTGAGTTCATAGTGTATCTGGGTCAGTTTCATATATGTAGTCAGATATTTTTGTAAAGGAAATAATCATTCTTTAAAACGGACAGAAGGAGGTATACAAAATACATTCCAAAAGCCAAATTACTTCACTTGTAGATTCAACTGCAGCCAAAGCATACTCTGTTATCTTGAGACTCAATCACAAAGGATTATTAAGTAATGCAAAGATTCCAGGACTGTCCAGTGAACCTTCAAAAGATCCAAGCTTCCATACTATTGAATAAGATTAGGTACATCAGAAGGAATTCCTGCCTAATTGACTTTGCTTTGTGGAAGAATATCTTAAAGCTAACATCTGTCTTTGTTAGGTTGTGTTGTGATTAATTATGTAAAAGAAGCTGGAATAGATGGAAAGCTTTGGACAATTTCTATATTGAAGAGAGTTTACTTTGACTTTGTGAACTTGAAATGTCAGAATGGTTAGTGTGTGGTGGTTTTTCTGCTGCAAATAGAATTGTGTAGGTGAACCAAGATTTTAAGAGAAGATGGATTTTATAGCTTTATTTGCTTGACAAACTTGGTTTGAAACATCTGTTATTAGGAAATTGCAAGAATTATTAGAGATAGTAGCAGGATATTTTAAAAAATCACAACATAATCAGACAGAGTCAGCATAGTTATGTGAAACAGCAATAATTTGAATAGTTTGTTAGTTAAGGATATAAGAAACACAGCAGTTTTTGATCTGCTCATGGGATGTGGGCTATGCTAGTATTTATCGCCCATCCATCATAACTCATCACCACCTCAAGAGCAGTCATTTTGAACAACTTTACATGATATCGTTGTTATCTTACTTTATTTTGATTCTGAACAGAATTAGGAAAAAAAAACTGTTTTACAAGAATGGACTAGGGAAAGAACGGCTTTTTTTTTAAGTTGCTGGAGTGATGCTGTGGAGATACTCGAGGTGATGGCTGTTGAAATCCCCCATCCAGAGTACTTTCTCTGCCACTGCCACCTCCGTTTTTCCTTCAAATTGTGTTAAACATGGCGTATTGATTCATCAGTCGGGTGGGGGGTGGAAATTGTACCTGCTGATCATGAGCTTCCTTGCCCATTTTTGAACTGATGCTATGAGATTTTATTGGACCTGGCATTAATGCTGAGGAGTCCCGCTAGGGAAACTCTCGTGACTTAGGGACATTTGTTTGTTTCTAAACAACCAGACCACAAAGATGTCACATAACTAAATTTGGCAATCTTCCGGAAGACCTCCTACGAAGTCAACATCAGCTAGACCGTCAACTCACAGGTACTACTTCATGGATCTGAAATGCTCACTGTATAATCTACCACAGAAATATGTCTCCATGAGAAATCTTGCTATACTAAGATGGCAAGTTACACCTATCCTAAATGACTCTGCACTTAACCCTTGGAATATATCATAGCCAAATGTCTTTTTTGTAATGGACGCTTGTCTCAACAGTAACTGGTTCTTCTACACCATTTTCTTCCTGTTCCCACTTCCTAAACCACCCCACCCCAAAAACAATTCCCCCGTCCCATTAGATTTGTATCATGCAAGTGAAATTGTCTTTCATCAAAACATCCTCAGACTTTCAGATTTTTAAGAGAAGAAACTGGCTAGCCAGTAGAATTGGAGGTGTAGGCAATTAACCACCCTTTTGAAGGAAATCCAGGCTATGAATATCAACATTAGACTTTCCCAGTAGGAATGCTGCAGACAAAGGGAAATAAAGCCACAGCACTTGACAAAAGTTTCCTGTCATCAGGTTCTAATTATCAAAACCAATCTCAGTCACTACA